TGGATTTGGTGACTTTTTAGTTCTTAATGCTAGTTAATTTTGCACTAATTACATGATTAATGGAAATTATGACTTTAACTAAGGAAATATGCTATGAGCTTCTCTATCCAATTTACTAACTAAGAAAAGTCTAGGTGACCTCAAGCTTCTTTGGTTGCTATAGCCAAGTTAAAATGAAACCATAAGTCTTACACCATAATGCCTAATGATAATCAACTAGTTATCCATGTGATGAAAACCAAAGTCAACCATCGTTCTCTTATTGATTTTACATCAAACTCTTGATTTTTTTGAATTGTGTCTTTAAATCTCAGTTTAACTCTAATTTTCTTTTAAACATCTCAAAAGACCAAAACCCCCCATTTTTACTTTTATTGTCATTTTACAAGTATTTTTTACAAAGAGATTTTCATAGAGCTATAAAATTGAACCAATCTCCGTGGATATGATCCCTTTACCACTATACACTATTTTAGTGTACCTGATTTAGGGTTATTTATTTTTTTGGCCTCGACAACCACCAGATCAACCAAGGGGCTGCTGTCAAGCAGTTTCTGCGGTGTGGAAATTAGATGTCTGCGGTGCATGAGGTGGCCAAAGTAGGATGCCATCGAGAAAGTGCATCATGACGTGAAAAATAGAATGTCACAACGTGGAAGGCGTTTAAGCGGCCTTTGACCGAGGTCAAAGAGGTCGGCATGGAGCAGAGAATATCATTCGTGCCACAGAAACGCATTAGAAATTAAGTTTGTTAAACCTTCATTCTCGTCATAATGCATCCAAAGAAGCTCCGACAATTTGAGGAATCAAAGAGGAGTAAGAGGCGATGTTGGGTGCTTATGGATTAGATTGGAGGTAGAAAACACATGAGGTAATCATCTTTTTCATCCTTAAGCTATTAGGGATTTAATGGGGATTTATGAAATTGAGTTATTTATGGATGATTACTCTTGAGAAGCTGTTAATTGATGTTATTAGTAGTGTATAGAAGCTTTGAACAAGCTTTATGTGTGATTTCAATGGTGAAATTACTATGGGTAAAGTTATGGTCTGAAACCCTAAACTAGTGATTAATGAATTGATGCATTAAGATGTTATATGATGATGAATTAATTATAATAGGATGCTTAATTCATTATTTGGATTGAATTTAGAAGTAGATAATTAAATGTTAGAAGTATGATCAAATTAAGTGATCATTTTGACATTAAGAATTAAATAAGCTCTTAATAGGCCAAGACAAGTTTTTAAGAACTCAAAATGTTATATGAATAGGCCTTGAGCAAGAGGATAAGTCAAGATGCACCAATAGAAGAAAATAGTCAATAAAGGGTAGTTAGTCCTCACTAACTAACAATGTGAGTTATATCTCTCACCCTCTCCTTTAATTATGTTATATATATTTATATGCATGTATCTATGTTATATGTATGTGTCATGTACATGAGCATGACTTAGAGAAAAAAAAGGATCATGTAGAATATGATTTTGTGTAAGGTTAAGTTCTTGTTGTTATACATGTAAGACCTTGTATCTGAGCATGTATGTATGAGCAAAGCATATGTATATGTACAAGGAAAGATGTGGGTATTATTAGTAATACTCATAAGAGTAGATAAAGAAAGACTATGATTGTATGTAATATAATACTATGTATGTTTAGAGATGGAAAAGGTATTTGTTAGAATAAATAAGAGAAAGTAGATAGAGATAGAATATGATTATATGTAATATAATCATAAGAGTATGTAAGTATGTCTAACTACCATTAGTATTGTAGAATGTTATATGGTACTAGACATAGATATTGATTAAGTACTTAATGTAATTAAGTACTAGATGAGTAATGGAAGATCTCTTAATGAGATAACGGGTAAGCTTCCTACGAGGACAAGATATAGATGGTCCTTCGAGGACAAGTGTAAGGTTCCTACGGGAATAAGTGATAGATGGTTCCTTCGGGGAAAAGTGTAAGGTTCATATGGGAACAAGTGATATATGGTTCCTTCGGGGACAAGTGTAAGGTTCCTACGGGAACAAGTGATACATGGTTCCATCGGGGACAAGTGTAAGGTTCCTACGCGAACAAGAGTAAATTTCCTTCAAGGACAAGAGTATGGCTCTTTCTGGGACAAGAGTATGGTTTCTTAGGGTACAAGAGTATGGTTCATATGGGAACAAGAGTAAGGTTCCTTTAAGGACAAGAGTAAGGCTCTTATAGGGACAAAGAGTATGATTCTGCAGGAATGAGATTATGTCCCTACGGGGAAAGAGATAGATGATTCCCTCTAGGGAACATAGATAGATGATGCTTGAGAGGATCTAGACTGAGTATGATTATAAGAGATAGAGAAAGGTTCCTTGTGGAGGGACAAGATTAGAGAGTTCTTTGTAAGAACTTAGATGTAACCCACAATGGGTTAAGAGCAAGGAATCCGTGATGGATTTAAGAATAAGAAGAAGAATTAAGGATCAACGAAGGATCATAAGAGAGGGGGGTAAGACTGGGTAACCGTGCTCAGTAATAAAAGTGGGATGTTTTCCCTTAAAGCATGGTATGAGATATAACCATTGGGTCTAGATGACAATAGAGTGCTAAGGCACTAGATACGAGAATATAGAAGAGAAAGAGTAGAGAATGAGAAGAGTCTGGTAAGAGGATGTGAGTAGATAAAGATAAAGAGACAGAGATAGAGTATGTATAGAGTATGTGAATATCAAGTTAAGAGGTTAAGAAAAGAGTATAAAGACTAAAGGAAGAATATATGAATGTGAAGATAGATAAGAATATAACCCACCATACACTTTGTGTCTGATACTGCAGATGTGTTTCTATTTTGCAGGTTCAGGTAGTAGTAGTCGTGGTACCATTAAGTAAAGGTAGGAGCACAAGGACCTAGAATATGTTTTATTTCCTTGTTGTCCTAATTTATATGAAAGTTTCATTATACACCCGTGATTGTGCCTGGGATTAAAATGTTTTTTTTTATGATTTAATAAAATTTTGTAAATTATTAGTAATAACTCTGAGAATTTCATTATATTAGCTGGATAGAAATATGGGTCGTTAGATAAATCTTTGTAAAAAACTCAAACTAGTGTTCCGACTTCAAGGTTTAAAACATATATAATATAGTTTATTAAGCACTTTGATCGATGATTTGAAAGTTAATGGTTTTTGTAGGATGTTAACTTGTGTTTAAAACGTCTTATTTATTGTTATTTAATCATTTAGGACCTTGATAAATGTTTTGGAAAGGTTTATGAATATTGGAATGAGTTTGGACAACCTTAAATAAAAAACTACTCCTTTAGGGGCATCATGACATACCCACTTGCAAGTGGAAGCTCCTTTTTGGCTCAGCTCGGTCAAATAACTTGTTGCATTGATGTTAGAAATGTCAAGCATGTTTCAGTTATAACTTTTACATACAAACTTTAAATTAGGGGGTACATAGTTAATGAAGACTGAAGAGCATGATTTATGAAGCTAGTTGTCTCTATACACATCCCCTTTTTTTATTCAAATGAAAATTTAAAGGAGAAGGAAGGCTACATGTGTGGTTTTTTCTCTAATTGAAGTGGAATAAAAAGAGCTTGAAGTTATTTTATAAGGGTAACTTTAATCATCACTCTGGGACTAATGGAAGGTGTATTTAATCTTAGTTGAGTTTTTCATATATCGAGTTATGGTTTGGGAATTCTCCCCAAATCCGATATTTTAGTTAAATTATAAATTATAATGGTGTTTTTAGACGAGCATATGTATTAGAAGTTGATTTGTAATACTATTTACGCAAATAATGGTTGACAATTCAAACCGATGTTCATTTTCAAGGTTTAAAACATAAATGGAGTTTATGTTGATGGCTACTTTGATCCATGTTTTGACTATATTAATGATTTTTTAGGATGTCAATTGATGTCTAAAGCATGCTATACGCGCTTGAAGGGGTTGTGGCATTTGATCCGGTCATCAGTTAGGACATTTAGAAATGATTTGAAGGAGTTTTGGAATTACTGGAATGAGTTTGGACAACCCGAAATAATAAATTGCTTGTTTTTGGGAATCACTTGGTCGAGTGGAAGTTCTTTATTGGCTTCATTCGATCAAGCAACTTTTTGCATTGAGGTTAAAAGTGTCAAACCTGTTTTAATCATAAATTTTCCATATAGACTTCAAATTAGATCCGTTTTTTACATATGTTCTTCTAAGACTCAAGATGATACTACAACAATAAAATTTCATTTTTTAATTAAAGAACTCAATACATACCTTAATGAACCATTGAAGAGTATTTGACACAAATTAAAATTCCATATAATATGTTGTGTGTGTAAGTGTTAGCCGCTCTAAAAAAAATTAATGTGATGACACAAAAAATCTAAAATAATTACTGATGATTTAGAAAATGATTAATGATTTGAGAGGGTAATGTATTATGTCTCGTATACATATTTAACCATTAAACTATTTGTGTATGCAGTTTACCATCTAATATCTCTAGTCATCTTTTTACGGTAAAGAAACAATTTTACAGTCATCTTCTTTGCACGTTTTCAACATGCAAGATCTATCTTCAACACAACACAATATGAACACAAGATTCCTTCCAAACTTTAAATATAGGTTTCCAAAACGGGGATAAACACAAGGAAGATATTGGTTGAAAAAAATGAGATGAGGAGAAGATGTTTGTTCGATATTCGAGTTTGGATCATGTCCATACTTTGTCTTTAGGTTTTGTGAATTGCTTGTAAGAAACAAAACTCAAATCATATTTATGGGTTCGAAAAATGGGGCTAAGAACACCATGAAGATATGGATATGAAAAATATCAATTTTTTTGAAGTTCTTGAATATTTATGGGAATGAATACGATGGAGGGAAATATGGGTTTCATCCTCATCCTTGTTGATCGGTTTATGGTATTTATTTCCTAGTTTGGCATCAAGGTTTCTTCAACTTTGTTATGAAGACGAACACAATGAAGATCCAGAATAACATGCAATACTTCCATTCAATGAAAAAAACAAACTAGAATTCAAGACAAGATATCTACAAAAATCCAAACAACCACTCATACTAGCGTCTTCACAACAAAACTGCAAGCTTATTATTATTATTATTATTATCCTATTTACACAAAACCATTTATCATCATGATCACAAAAAGCTTAAGTAGCTTCTGCAACAGATGAAAGGTGCAAGTTGGTTCCATAACCCTTGAGAAAGCTGCTTCCACAGAACTGATCATGAAAAACAACCCCATCCTCGTCTTCTTCTTCATGCTCATGCAACTTGTACCCTGTGCTTGAAGAGTTTCCACCACGTTTTCTTACATGCTTCTTCTCTTTACCTTTACTTCCACGTGATGATGATTTGCTTCCATTCTTTTGCTTGTTTCTTGAATTCTTCTTGCTACTATGCCTTGATGACCTGTTGCTTGTTACAACATGTGATACTGAAGTGGGAATTGGATCGTAGACATCTGGTGCCCATTTTACCCTCAGCTTCACTGGTGGAGCCACTCCACGTTTCTCACGGCTACCTTTCATGGCAGATACAGCCTTCAAATGGGTCTGTAAGTAACACAAGATCCAATCACTCACCATAAATAAAGATTACAATAATTCATAAATGATAAATCCAAGAAAACTATACTTACAGGCAAAGATATGGAACGAAAGCCAGATTGATCCAAAGATTTGATGTTGTCATCGTGTAAGGTGATGGACTCTGGACAAGGAAATGTTGCAGACCTGCTGAGACAATTTTCAAGAGGTTGAGTTGTTGTTGTGTCTTTAGGTTTATGGGGTGGTGAGGAGTTTGAATCTTCATTTGTGTCATCTTGAATGGTGAGAAACTCGGTGACATTAATGCTTAGTTCATCCACAGAAAGGGGTTTAAGGACTCTATGAGTGGGTTCGAGTGGATCCTTTTGCAGATCATGAAGATCGTTGGCATTATCAGCAACTGACAAATCAGTGTCGGAGCAAATGTCCATTTGCAAAAGAATCGGGGATTTTGAAATAACTGGCTGCACTGTTGAAGCTTCAAAAGCGAAAGTGTTGCAAGAGACCTGTGTCAAAAAAAGGTGTATCGTTTGTCAATTTAGTAAACATGATTTCATGGTGATTTGTTGAAGAGAAACTGTTGGGATACATGCTCATGACCTGATCTTCGATCATACTCAAATCTCAAGATCAAAGCAATATCGTGTGCATTAGATTAAATAAACCACCATCACCAAACAGTTTTATTCAGCTGTCGGTGAGGTGACAAACACAGGTAATATTAATGAAAAACCAGATAAACCGTTTCCAACAAAGCATTCAATATAGCTATCAAGATATGGAACATTTGCTCCAAAATATTCTAGAAATTTAATATACAAATCCAAAGCACGTATACGAAAACGAAAGGAAAAAAAAAATAAAAAATAAAAATAGACGGTACCTTCTCCGGCTGATTAGATCTGGCTAGACCAAACTTCTCAGGCGCAGAAATGAATCCAACCAGTCCCGTATGTCTTAAGGCGGTTTTCGATTGTCGATCGATCTCGGAATAAACAGATATAGCTAGTTGACCGTGTCAAATCAGTAAGGCAATGGAGAATAAAAACACAGAGAGATGTAGAAAGAGATAACGGATGCTAATTAGAGGGAGGAAAACAGAAAAACAGGCCTGTTGTTAACTAAGATTACCACGACGATCTCCTTTATGAAGACGACGTTTCAAACGATGAGAACACGAACGACCGCCATAAAAAGAGTTAAGCAAAGGGGGAGTAATAAATTCGAGTGAAAGCACCGAATGCATTGTTCGATGCTTTTCAAACCCTAGTTTCCACAACGAAAAGAAACTAAACGGCCAAACCCTAATCAAAACGACTCGATCGTCAATTCGATTAGATCCCGAGGACTATACAAATTAAAAGCCACAAATGAGACGTGATTTGATTGATGGCGAGAACGAAGGAGCTGATTACATGAATTTGAGGATCGACAGTCGATGATCGGGATCGAAGAACATGGCTGGAAAACGGAGAGAAACCAGGTTTAGGTAGGAAGATTTGTGCAAATGATAATACAAGGGGAATGGATAAACCAGAGAATAGGAATGGCTTGGTCAACGCCCTTCCGACAACAGATTTGGACTGGGCCTATTATACAATCTATATTCCACGGCTAACGGCCCTATATGAGACGGGTCAAAGACTCAAAGTTCATTGTCGGGTTCGGTTTAATTTAAACAATAGTGACTTTTGTTTTTATCAAAACTACATGTTTGGTTTTTAATTGTATGGAGCATGTGTGGGTTGGTTTGGTAGCCAAAAACAAACTATATCTATTAGGATTAGTTAATGTATTTCGATAGTATTTGTTATCGGCTCTAATTGGTTTGACTAGTGACTTTTGTTTTCTTTTAACGATTATAGTCCAAAATGACGTTAAAATAGAAAATACATTTCTATTAAAAATGAAAAAACAAAAAATGCATTGTCATCAATAGTGAAATCAGAAAGTATGTTGTTATTGTTGGGTTATGAGCAAAACACCAATCATATGGTGCACATGCAAACCCTAAAGCTTTGGATCTAGTTTTTTCCTATTTGTGCATGCAATAATCATCCAAAACTTGCAAACTCTAAACTAGCATACAACAAAAATCAAAACCAACATAAATAACTAGTAAGAATGTTACATTTCAATTGAAGCTTGAAGATCCTTGAGCTTTTGAGAACCTAGCACCTCAAAAACGATGCATCTAATATATCACCAAAGCAATTGGAGAATGCAAGAGAGAGAGGGGGGAGGTAATTTTCGGCTCTTGGAATCCTTCTAGGGTTGTGGTGGTCGAAAACTGGATGCCTAGGGGTTCTATATATAGGTGAGGTATTAGAGTTTCAGTCAAATACCTAATCTGGTTGCTTAAGCCCTAAGCAGCCCAAAGGAACATTCCAGAACCCTAGCCTTGGACGAATTCTTATGAGTTATCCATAAGATTTCGAACACCCCTATATTTAGGGATCCTCAGCCCATATTGCAACTATCTTATAATTACAACTTTAGTCCCCTTAATTCAATTAACCTCTTTTGACCACAAAATTAATTCTAAATTAATTTTAGACCAATGTTAATTAAATAATATGATTTCTCTTTTAATATATTATTCATATAATATATTAATAAACCATAATAACCTCTTTCTCCATTATTCATTCAGTCAATTTGCTTTGGTGAAGTCAACCCAAAATGACCATGCTACAACCGGGTCGAGTACATACCAAATATAGTTATGGCTTATACACCTAATCCAACAGTCTCCCACTTGGATAAGTCTGATAACTATAAATGCAAGTACGACTTCAAAATCCGATTAGCAATCGTAACTCTCAAAAGCTGTTGTCGAACTCCAACACGTCCTATAGATAAGGGATCGTATAGTCATCCGTTCTCAATATATCGCATGGACAATCACATGGAACATAGTCATACTTATTGTCCAGCAGTTTGTTTCTCGATCTTTGATTTGTCTGACATAGAACTTAATTAAACACATCAACTCAGTCCTGACCGGGCCCGACACATAAGTTAAAACAAAATCATCGAGGGGCCCATGATATCGCTTTTAACCTCATAGGATAAAAGGAACAGATAAACTTCGACTTATATGCTTATACTATTTACTCATAAAATCGTACACAACAATGCGTTTTATAACATCAAGTTACTGATGCGTTTACACATTATCAATGCACAACCGACTCATAAACAACAACTCATATATCTAGGTTTAAAGACTATATGATATTATCGTCTCACAATCACTCGTGATTAATTCCATGAAGTGATTTATGTGAGCACGAGTTTAATCCAATACTCAAATCATATTTCATAAGCACTCATGAACGTTGCAACAAACCTTTGCTATGTCTAACCGCTTAGACAATCTACAAGCCAATTGACGACAGTCTTCTTTCAAACTTACTTCCAACGTATGATCGAATGTGGATAGTTTAAATAATCTTATTATTTAGGAAGTCAAAACATGCAAAGTGAAACAATAGTAAATAATTGACACAAGACAGTAACATTACTTATAAATAAAACACCTTTATTTAATCATCAAAATGTCAATTACAATTTATCTATTACAAGTTTCTAAAATCTATCTAATCATTAAAACTAATATCGTCCTTCAGCCCAATGCTCCTAGCGTGCTGCAAGTGCTTAACCCTACTCAGTCCCTTCGTAAGGGGATCTGCTGGGTTATCCTCTGACGATACTCTCTTCACTACGAGGAGTCCCTCTTCTACCCGATGTCTAATGAAATGATATTTTCTGTCGATATGCCTGGATCTGCCATGATCCCTCGGTTCCTTGGTTAAGGCAACCGCACTTTCGTTATCGCAGAAAATCTCTATAGACTCCTTTATGGTCGGTACAACTCCAAGGTCTCTGATGAAGTTCTTTAGCCATATTGCCTCCTTCGACGCTTCGCTCGCTGCTATGTACTCTGATTCGTACGTTGAATCAACTACGGTCTCCTGCTTGGAACTTTTCCAGGCCACTGCTCCTCCATTTAGGGTAAAGACCCAGCCCGACTGAGAGCGGATAAGAAACTAGTCTTTGGTCACCGAGGATAAGAAACTAGTCTCATGAGCTCTACCATGATTCCCTTGATATCCGCTGACCATGCAAATGGAGTCACTATACCCTCGCACTCTCAAGCCACCGAGGATAAGAAACTAGTCTTTGGTCCTCCGCATGTACTTCAGAATGTTCTTTGCCGTAGTCCAATGAGCTCTACCATGATTCCCTTGATATCTGCTGACCATGCTCAAAGCAAAGGCCACATCAGGGCGAGTACATGTCATAGCATACATGATTGAGCCAAATACGGGAGCATAAGGTACTCTGCTCATCTCTGCTATCTCGGCATCGGTACTCGGACTTTGAGTCTTACTCAACTTGGTATTGCTTTGGATCGGTAACTCCCCTTTCTTGGAATTTTCCATGCTGAAACGTTTCAACACTTTATCCAAGTAAGTGCTTTAACTAAGTCCTATTAGCCTCTTACTCCTATTTCTCAATATCCTTATCCCTATAATATAAGCAGCTTCTCTGAGGTCCTTCATAGCGAAGCACTTCCCAAGCCAGGATTTAACCTCCTGCAAGGTTGGGATGTCGTTTCCTATGAGTAGTATGTCATCCACATACAAAACGAGAAAGCTAACCATACTCCCACTGGCTTTGACATATACACAGGACTCATCCTCGCTTCTTGAAAAAACAAACTCTTTGACTTTCTCATCAAAACAAAGATTCCATCTGTGAGATGCTTGTTTCAATCTATAAATGGATTTCTCAAGCTTACACACTCTATTGGGGTGCTTCGTATCAACAAAACCCTCTGGCTGACTCATGTAAACATCTTCAACCAACTTCCCATTAAGGAAGGCGGTTTTGACATCCATCTGCCATATTTCATAATCATGAAACGCAGCTATGGCTAGCATAACCCTTATAGACTTAATCTTCGCTACTAGTGAGAAGGTCTCATCATAGTCAACTCCAAGAGTTTAAGTAAATTCCTTCGCAACCAATCGCGCCTTATATGTGTGTACTTTCCCATCCGTGTCGGTCTTCTTCTTGAAGATCCATTTGCACCCGCCCGTCTTACGACCTGGCACATTGTCAACCAAGTTCCAAACTTGATTGTCATACATGGACTGAATCTCGCTGTCCATAGCCTCTTTCCATTTCGTAGACTCCAGGCCTGCCATGAATTCCTTGTAGTTGTTAGGTTCATCCTATTAGTGTGCTATCACTAATAAACGTATCACCCTCAACAGTTATATGGAAACCATAAAACTCAGGTGAAACACTAACTCTACTGGAACGTCTAAGAGGTAAGGAATCGTCAATCGGTTCAACAGGAGTTTCCTCCTCGGGTTGAGCGCCAGTGTTACAGGTTCCTTCATTATTTGATTCCTGAAGCTCTTCAAGATCAATTTGCCTCCCACCGTCCTCTTGGCATATGAGTTCTCTCTTGCGAAAGACCCCTCTCCTCGCAACGAAGACAACATTGTTACTCGGTCTATAGAAGAGATATCCAAATGACTTTTATGGATAGTCGATGAAAATACACCACTCACTACGAGGCTCGAGCTTGTTGTGAGTCTCTCGTCTCACGAAAGTCTCGCAACCCCAAACCTTGATATGTGCCAACGAGGGAGCTTTCCCTGTCCACATCTCGTGAGGTGTTTTGGCAACTTCTTAATTGGGACTAGATTAAGGATATGGGCGGCAATATCTAAGGCATACCCCCAGAATGAGATAGGTAACGAAGCTCAACTCATCATGGAACGAACCATGTCCAACAAGGTTTGATTGCGCCTCTCGGCCACACCATTCAACTGCGGTGTCCTAGGTGGCGTCAACTGTGAAACAATTCTGCATTCCTTGAGGTAGTCGTGGAATTCGATACTAAGGTACTCTCCTCCTCAATCAGATCAGAGCATCTTAATTTTCCTGCCCAACTGATTCTCCACTTCTTGCTTAAACTCTTTGAATTTTTTAAAAGTTTCTGACTTGTGCTTTATTAAGTAGATATACCCATATCTGCTATAATCATCAGTAAAAGTCACATAGAAGCGGTTCACATCCCTTGTGGTGGATCTAAAGGGCCAACATACATCTGTATGTATGAGATCCAATAAACCCTCACCCCTTTCACAAGAACCAATGAAGGGTGACTTGGTCATCTTTCCAAGTAAACAAGATTCGCACGTATCATCCGACTTGATGTCGAAT